CCTCCTGCCAGTGGCGCAGAGGCAGAGGTCCCAGTGTGAGTCTCTGTACATTCATTGTGAAGATCAGCACTTGTCTGACAGAAAAAAAAAAACAAAAAAACCCCCAAAAAAACCCAGGTTGCACGAATAAACAGTTGTAAATACAGTCACATCCACACTCGCAAACATAACCACGTATCCTTTACTCAGTGTATATTAATACATTCCTCACCAGCAGAAAAAGTGATGGAAGTTTAAATCTGTTCATATTTCAATCCACTCATTTTGCTTCAACTATAATTTTTGTATCAAAACGCTTTGTGTTGGAACACAATACTCCCACACTGAATATCTTATTTTATTCTAAGGTTTCACAATAAGTGTTTCAGGCTTCCTGGTGAATCATAAAAACAGATCATTGTGTTTGGCCTAGAATATTTTAAATTACTGCTTGCTAGAAAATTACTCATAGGATTAGTATTGGTGTTCTGCTCCCTCTTCAGCAGAAGAACTATAATTTGCAATGAAACATGTGCTTTATTTGGAAATTAAATACCAAACTCATCTGCCCATGTATCTAGATTTCGTCTACGAAGAGAAGCCACTTAGGAAGGACTGATCTCCTGGCTAACTTGGAATGACATAGTTTTAATCCCCATCACTGTAGTTTATTGTAAAATTAGCATCCACCAGGGCTGAACAGAAATTATAGGTACTTCATCATTATTTTATCACAGCATTTTCTTCAGTACAAGTTATTTCTTGCACAGTTAATGAAGGCACACAGACTGATCCGCCTGCTCGCCGAGTACCTTTTACAGGTTTGGAAGCACTATTGTTGCTGTCGTAAGTAGGAACTCAAGGGCTGACAATCTTAGAAAAGCTAAATGGCAAGGTGTACCAGAGGTACTGACTCATACGGTACACCAGCTTCACAGGTTCTTTTTCCTTTTACTCCAAACATCTCTTCATCTGCCCCTTCTGAAGAATATCAGACTTCATGCACAGATTTCTCTCATACACAAACAGCAGACAAATTCAGCATGCTGATTTAACTGCATTGACACAACCATTTCGTTTACCCATTGCTTTACAGTAGAAGATGTTCCAGGAATACAACCACTTTTTGGATTACAAATCCCTCGATGTTTCAAGGCAAAAGTACTAAGCACGTAACACATAATGTAAGGCAAGCACTTGAAAACAAGTATTCAAGAGATCTCTCTTGCAATCTGCATATATAATACATTTCTATGTTTGTTCTGAATCTGGTAAAAACAACCTACAATTCTTTGGTCAGTATAATCCCCACTGCTGTATGCTGTGGCCAGAGTTGAAGAGCACTTCTCTGCATACCAGGGAGAAAGGCCTTGCTGAGAAGCACTGCTAATGGAGATAGTGTAGATACTATCAGTGTAGCCATCGCAGTCACAGTTGTCACCCTGCCGGCCTCCATTCCCTGAAGCCCATACGAAAATTGAGCCTTTCCCACTTCGGCCCTAGAGGAAATGGAAATGAGTGGTTATCAAAGAGATTTCAGTCTCTGTAATGTGTTCTTAACAACTCCTCCCTCCAAAAAAGTGTAATATATCAAACAGTTTCAGGTAGAAAAGGACAATTTTACATAAGCACTGTAGAAGACAGAGACAGAAGAAACCAGCTACTGGAGGTATCCTACTTCACACTCCACAGTACATCTCTTAAGTCTGACTGGTTTAGGTTTAGTGTTTCAGGTATACCAACTTTCCTCAGAATAGGTTTTTAAGTTAAAAACAGAGATTGTGCTCAACAGGTAAGTCTTCCCCCAAGCTGATGTTTTAGTCCTGAACATTTCTATGAAAAAATATCTTTTTTTTTTTTTTTAATAATGGCAAGTTTATCAGTGATTATTTCAGTCACCTTTCCTGTGATCACAGAGGTATGGGTAAGTTGTACGAGTGATGTACATGATATGACTTTTCCACCAATTCATTTTTTGTAAGGCAGCCTTACACAGTTGGCATTCACTTGCTGAAACACAGTGAACCAGCAAGCACATCTGACTGAAACCTCTCCCTTTTCCTACAGGTCTGTGGGCTAGCACAACCAGACTCCAGACACAAACATGTTCGTTCCCTGCTCTGGTCTCCAGTGTGTAATGAGTGAGCAAGCAGCTCACAACTGATGTGGACAGCTGACAGCATGTAAACCATCATAGAGGAAACACATATCACCCTGTTAAGTCTTAAACTGTGCTAGTCCTTCAGATGAAAAAAATCTTTTTCATGTGAAGAGCAAAAGTTTATATGTTGCTCATTATTAACACATGTACATTCACTGGAAACAGTAGCTGAAATATGGATTTTTATCATCCCAGACAGAAGAGATTTGAAGTTATTCATGCAAGGGCTAAGACATTTGCAGCACTCAAATCATTAAAAATAAAGAAAATAGAAAAAATAAGCTGTACTAAAAAATAAGCTGTACTTTTTGTGATAAAACTCCTAAAATGGGAAGGACAACCCACATCAATTACAGAAAATGAAGTATCTTCTTTTGAGGATAAAGGCTGTAGTCCAGAAAAGCCCTGGTATATGTAAACATCTGCTTTGTTTTCACTTAAGAGTGCTACTAATGCCTCTCAGATGCTTAAGGCTAAGCATAGACTTAAGTGCTTTACCAGGCTGACCCTAAGTGTAATGGAGACCATCCAGGTCCTTGAAAAAGGTCTGACAAATTAATGGGTAAATTTGCTCGCCTTAAGAAATAAAACAAGTTGATACATTCTTCATCAAACAACCTTTTTCAGAGTAAGACCACTGACACTAACTCCCTAATTACTGCCTTTAATTCTCCCTCTTCTCTTGCTGCCTAAGTACTTAATGGACTTAAGATCTCTGTTTATCACCAGCCCACTCCTCTCGGTCTCCATTCTTTCCTCACAGTATGTTTGTCAGCTGCCAGAGTCTTCTCTCTTCTTCTCACCTTCTGTCTGCTATTAACTGCCCTTTTTCCAAAATCCTCTTTCTCTTTGCTTCTGTCTTTCAAGCTTTCCTCCATTTCTCTCCACTCCTATCTCTGACTCAGTCTTCCTTTCTATATTAGTCTCTGTCCATCTTTAGATATCTTTTCACCTCACTGGTAAGAGCAAGAGTAGTTCATCAATACACCTCCAGTAGCTCTCCGTGTGCACCCTACTTATCATCCAACCAGATCTAAAGAGGATAGCACAAAAAAGAACTGTAAAAACAGTGTCTCCAATACTCTTATTCATGAATTTTTACTATCTTCATGCTAATTGGATCATGATATGCACCGATTTATAAACAAATGCAATTAACCCAACACAAGCCCATCCACAGGGTGCTAAAATGCATCACTATTTCACATAGCAAAATATTCACAAAGCAGAAATTTTGTATTAAATTTTATACACTTTCAGTGCAGAAATCCGATTACTGATCAGTGCAAAACAAGCAGCAGAGAATGGTGGGGGTAGGGCCAGAAAAAAACAGCAAAAGTAAGGATGGAAAAAGAAAGCTTATCTGTGGAGAACACCAGCTTAAAAACAGCTTAGAAAGCTCGAATGGTGCTTTTTTAAAAGTCCTGTTCTGTCTGCTAATTTCTCTGACCTGTACTATTACAATCCTTCTCCTCCTTTTCAAATATGTTTGAGCAAAGACAGCACAAACCATTTTAATTTCTTCCCTGATATATCAAACATTTTAAAATTCCGTTATCTGACACATTTTATTGTATCTTTCTCTGAAGTATCATACCTGTTTTATCCCATACTCGAAAGCCTTCTGTGCCAGTCTCCCAGGCCCCTCCACAGTTTTACCATCATCATTAGGGCCCCAGCTTGCACTGTAAATATCCACATGTTCTGGATTGAAACCGATGGAACTGGCTTCAATAGCATCAGTGACTATTCCATCCAGCATTCGTATACCTTGACAGAAAAAAACAAGCAGACTAGATTACCTTCTGTTCCCTCTTCTTTGTCTTTTTAATGGTTTGTAATGTCTCCAGCAAAATTAATGTCTAATTATTGCAACCACACCCTACTGCTGTTCATGTAAATAATACTCTAGACACTTCATGAAGTGAAGTGAAACAGTACACTTACCCTTTATTTGCAGAGCTCGGTGCTCTCTGCAAGCATTAAAAAAGCCCTTCTCAAAATTTTGGTTGCCTCTTACTTACTTATTTTTCTCTTCTTACAGAGAGCCAAGAAGATGACGTTTTGCTTACTGTTCCTGCTTTTTGTTATTGCATTGAGCCCCTTCCAGACTCTTTTTTTCCTCTCTGTTTAATCTGTAACAAAGACTTCTCAAACTGCTAGCATATTGCTAAAATTAAATAGGTTTTATTAACATTACTTTTAGAGTTCTAAGAGTTTTAGTTCAAAGATGTAGTTCTGAATGTTCTGACTAAAACACTTTGTCCTCACAGTCATTAAGGTTTTGCTGTCTCTGTGACACTGCTATTTCACTAGCTCTTCAATCTCTACCACAAAAAATTCTCACTGTTGTTTTACTGCCATGCTTTTTCTACTGTGAGCAATCCAGAGATGCCACAGATATCTACCCATTAGCATTTTATTAGGAAGTGTATGATCTAATCTCCTTCAGAGCAAGCCTGATCTCAGTGGTACTTAAAATTCAGTGGCAGGCAGTGGTTCATCTGCACTGCATCTCTCGCTTTGCAAATCCCGAGCTCTGCGGTAGGATTGCTACCACTGTCCAGTGCTGGAGGATAGAAATAGCAGAACTCTGGCAAAATTCCCACTGTGGCACAGCTCTCCCAGCAATATAAGAGCCACAGCAGTCAGAATTCAGCCTGTGTTTTCAAGCAATAAAAATGTCTGGGTTCTCTTGAACTTGGCAAGTTAGTACCACAGCAGCTGCACCATTACTGGCAGTTGGTGAATTATTAAGTACTCATTTTCTAGTATCTTCCACAAAATGGGGATTTTTCCAAAGCACAGCAGTCAAAAAGTGGTTGTTCTGTTAAAAAAAAAAAGAAAATAAGAAAAACCCTGAACCTTTCCCTTGCAGCTCAGTGCCTTGTTCTTTTTTCACACTTCCAAGCAGGAAAAAAAGACTGTAAGTATATAATTCTTTTCCCAAATGGCTGGCCTCTAAGACTTGTAATACTGCTGAGATAAACCTGGGCTTTATTATTTCACCCTAATTAGTGGCAAAAAGAGACAAAGGAGCTAATTCTCTCAACCACTGCTATTCCACTATCACTCACAAAGCTGGGAAAAGTATAAAGGTGTTATTTTGTGCCTCAGGTACTAAAAACACCCCTTACCCTGGACAGGCTTAAACTCATAACATTTTGAATACTCATTTTTCAGTTGGCTCAGAATCATGAAATTCTCTCATAGCAGCACACTGTAAGCAAAGATCTGCCTGTGTGGAAATGACTGCAAGCTCTGGGTGCAAGCTTGCAAAACATAATGAGATACTGGAAATGCAGAGAGTAGTGTACAGGTATTTCCCACAGAAGAAGACAAAGCCAACTGTGCAGATAAATAATGTAAGAAGGAAGAAAACGAGAACACTGACAACACAGGGATGAAAACAGTTCAAGAAAAAAAACCCACTGTCTTGTTTTTGTGATCTCCAAAAATCCTGCTTGTTCAAGTCAACTTAGGGAGTTTTGACGACTGCAATAGTATTTCCCTAAGCAGACTCCAATTATATCCTCTTGTACAAACTCCTTTCTACTCTTCCACATGCCACTCCCATCATCAGTCCCACAAAACCAAAGGGCAAAGCCCAAGGTAATTTCAGACACATACATGTATCTGCCTGGCAGAAGGCTATTTTTAGCAACATGTCACTGTGCGGGAACTCTCAGCCCTGTCCTTTGTAAAATGGACCTTCTTAATCACTTGATTTCCATGGCAGGACCAGAGCAATATTGTAGCACAGCTCTGCGGTTAGGTACGTGTGACAATACACGCACCTTCCTTTATTCCAAAGGTGACCAACACACACACATTTCTCAGCTCTGTACAGAACAAGACGTGAATGTTGAAGGACACTGAAAGGTGTGAAAACTGGCATTAAGAAGTATTTTTTTCACACAGGGCACAGAAAAGCCTATGGGGTTCACAGCCACAAAGTACCAAAGGGACTAATAAGGTTTCGGAATAGGGCCAGGCATCGATGTGACTAGTGAGAATACTCAGGATTATTAAAGTCATTATTTTCATGGAAAACAAAAAATTTTGAATGGAATGTTTTGGTTTACCCCTCAAGGCGAAGTTAAACCAACAACTGCTGCTGAAGATTAGAGAACAAGGTGTTCCAAATGTCAGA